GTAATAGTAATAGTAATAGTAATAGTAATAGTAATAGTAATAATAGTAATAGTAATAATAGTAATAGTAATAATAGTAATAGTAATTATAATAATAATAATAATAATAATAATAATAATAATAATAATAATGATAATAATAATAATAATAATAATAATAATAATAATAATAATAATAATAATAATAATAATAATAATAATAATATCAACAACAGTCAATACCTATACAACAGTGGATTACATTTTGAAATTTATCAAGAAAATATTATATTTACAACAACTTTAACATTATTATCTCTAAAAGCACATACAAATATTTAACCATAAACAATTTTAATTATAAAAGGCCAGGGAAAAGCCCGGGAAAAGGACTACAACACTTGAACAATTATAATTAGGGCCTTTAAAAGAAATTAAAAAGTTTAGACATGATTAAAAAGGAAAACAAATTAGTAGGTATTTGTATATTATTCGCCACCTCCATGTTTATTCAAAATATTTACGAGGACCAATTTTTAATCAAACTGTTTAATCGTTAAACTGTCAGTTTGGTGTTATTTGTACATTATTTTGTGAATGTCCACCACTAGCTAAATAATTAAACAATTTAATTCTGTATTTCAGAAGGTTTAAAATGAGTTTATAATTTATACAGTATATTTATGTTTTAACCACACTTTCATGATGAATTTTCTCATGTTCTTTTTACTTCCATTTATTATGGATTTTTATTTTAAAAGTCAAATTAAACATGGAGAGCTCCCTGACAATCAACTTGTTTTTACTTTTGCGCAATCCTGTCGAGTTTTTTTATATTTATATTTTTTATTATTTTTTAAACCTTTTTAAAGTGCTTGAATTTCTATCTTGCAATCTTGTTTTTGTCTTTGTATTATATATGTTTTATTGACGAAATAAATGATATGATATGATAGATTAGAAATTAAAAATTTCCCCTTCAAAGAGGGGTGGGAGGAGGGGAACAGGTAGGCCATGGTCCTATAAAATGTGAATTCAGCTGGGTTTTTTAAGGTGGGTAAATGCTGTTTCTGGTTGGAGGTTAATAACATTCATAATTTCAAATGAGCAATTAATAATATTTAATTGAATTTTTGAGGTTTTCCCGATTTTTTTTTTTTTTTTTTTTTTTTTTTTTTTTTTTTTTTTTTTTTTTTTTTTTTTTTTTTTTNCAGACATATAGTTTTTAATTTTTCATTCACGCACTAATAAATATTTATAAGCATGGGTACATTGTGAAACCACTTTGATAGTTCAGTAGGCCTTTGATCATGTGCATTCATTCAAATGTTAAATGATTTATTATAATGATATATAATAAGAAAATTTGAAGTATTTAATTTTTTAGTCATTATTTTCAAACATATAAATTGTAAATACTGATAACTGCATTACCTCGTTGACGATGAGTAAATTAAAAGCTTAATTGATGGACGAGGATGGGCAATCCCTGTCAAAACACGCATGCGCTGTACACGCCATGTTTTTGTGAGAATTTTGTTCGTGTTTTTCGATGGGTGTGGGGTTGAAAATCAAGCCTTATTGTTGTACATTTTAATAATTATGATGGTCTAGTGTAAACAGAAATTATTGTAAGTAGTTTTTCAATCTGCTACATCATTTTTTAGTTATACCTAACGTTGAAAATGCTGGGGGGCGACCATCGTTTGTGACCACTTCCGTTTGGTCCTTCGATTTGCGCCTGACGAGATCGTGTGCTTGAATGATAAAAGCAACCTGTTTTCTTCTCGTTGGCCGTGGGAAGGCTGCCTACAAAGACCTATTCTGTTCACCATTTGTAATTTCATAAAATACGTTACATAGGTACCTGTCAATCTGCGGTATGTTTAAACTAATTTTGAAAATATTTGTTGCATTACGCTCCAGATAATATTTTGGAGAATTTCATGTACTTGTTGATGTGAAACTGAAATCGCAAAAACAATTATATAAAATATATAAAAATAAATAAACAATAGGCTAGGCTACAAAACAACGACCTTTTCAATCATCATATTTTTATTAATTAATTAATTAATTACTGATGGGCCCATCTTAAGTTTAAGCCTTGCATACGTTTTTAATAATTTAATTGATTAATTCGCCTAGGCCTAGACCATTTTTTTCACATTTTACTGTATCAAATGTCAGACTCAAGTTAGTAATAAAATGCATTTCATTTAAGCAAACCATGTCGTCATATTTCCGTAGTAAATTTTCTTAGCAATTTGCCTCGAGTGCAAGATGTGGGTTGCTGACATTTGCAGGTACACTATAGTTGTGGAATTAAAAAAAAAAAAACTGGACAGGATGAAGATTTACGGGTCACTTTTTTTTTTTTTTTTTTTAATAAATAATATATCATTATAAGTAATCCAACAAGTCTGAGTGGTGTAGGGTGATATGGACAAGTAGCCAAAGGTCCTGACAGAAAAATATTGTCCTCGTGTTAGACAGTGTGTAAACCTATATTTCTGGGTCTAAGAATAATGATAAATATATGTAGTGTCTTTGTCTATTTCCATAATACATCCATTATTGGGCAAAATTTCCGTAGCAACTACAGACATAGAACTTGTGAGAAGTCTGTGATATAAAATGATTTTTAAAAATTTATCATTTTCTAGGCCTACCGCACAGTATGTCAGGGGAATTTCTCCCTTGTGTATCTTGTTGCATCATCATTATTACATAGCCATCCAGTTTTCCCAGAAAAGGTTTAATAATATATGAGTCTGCTTTGATATCATTATCAGATATTGCATAGTTTATTTTTGTTGGTTCTAGGCCTACCCTACTTAATAATAATTAGTAATTATAATATACCTTTCTCTAGATGACCTTGACCTTATTTTCTTCATTGACACTAACAATGATTACGCCATCAGAATATTGACCACAACACAAGCTGAACACTCTCAATTCCACAACATCTATAACTAGAAATTGCAAATTGCAAGTGAAGTGCTGCAAAGTACAACTGCATATAAATGTTCTTCGAACAAAATTATTTATACGAGTCAAGTGAAAATAATGAATAATAAAAATATAACAAATAGTATGAGACACGGCCTATTGTCTATATTAGAACACTTCTCTTTGTTTAACAAAATCGTAATTTTTCATTTTTGTCAAAAAGTGTCTATAGTGGTGAAGTATGGTTTAGGTTTTTTTAAATAAAGTTTCAAAAATTTCTATGTATGTGGAAAATGTAGTTGATTACCAAAGGTTACAATCTTTATTTTGAAGACTGCATGGTCTAGGAAGTGTACATTTTTTTATGGGGCAAGTTTCCAAGGGCGGGTTTTTTAGGGGCGAGTTGACTGCCAAAGAGTGTTGCCAAAGTGCAAGCCAGCGTGTTATATGATCATAAGTGCGAGACATCGCAAGTGTGAGCCAGCGAGCCATGACGTCACGACAATAGATACGAGACGTTACTCGAGTTGTGCGAGGTATCGGCTGAAATTTGTGGAGTACAATTCAAAAAACAACTACAGTATAGGTCTAATAATGAATTATTGTGATGTTAAATAGTCAATGTTATCTATCAAGGAGCGATGTTGTTTTTCATTGGGACCTTCGTCCCTTCAAGGCTAGGCCTATACCATCCTAGCTAGTCTAGGCCTAGAGTAGGATAAGGCTATAGCGCGACATGTGGACGTTGGTACGTGTTGGTTAGTCTACAAACGTCGCCTAAAGTAATTGATTTTACTAGGCAGAACGAAAGAAGGAAACTCCGCTTTTCAGTCGTCTTAGGCCCTTGTTTTTTGACAATGACCTTTCAGAGGTCAAATTGCTGTCAAGAATATGAATTGGCTGCTTCGCAGCAATTAGCATACCATAAGTCTGCTCTTCAAAGGATTCTGCCCCCCAACTTAAAACTGACTAGTAAAATAATGTGTTGTACCCTGGGTGTCACTTTTTCTTAGGGCTACCGAAGGTCAGAGGCATTGTCTCTAGGGACATTTTTAACATTAAAAAAAACACAGATTTGCTATAGTGTAGGCCTACTGGAGGAATTGCGCTGGGAACCGTTTTTTTTTTAAATCAACTTGTTTTGCTCGCTTCAGACTAACTGTGACTTCCCACTGGTTAAGACCCCAGTAGTCAAACTATAAGTTTTTATCCTTGGATAATATTAAAAGTATGTAAAAAGAAAAAGTAAACATTTTTATAAACCAATATTCTACTTTGCATTCCCCAAGTGGTGGGCATAAAAATAAGTCAGAGGTCCAAAACTTAATTTTCAATTTAATACCAAGGGCTGCAAGCAAGCAAACTAATGGTGAAAATTTGACATTTCCAATGTGCTTACAAAAACCTTTTATACACACTGCTTTATACCACTTTATGCTCAGTTATAAAATCGTCGCTGACATCACGAACTAACACAATCAAAGTAGATTGTGTTAGTTCGTGAAATCACAGTAGCGCGTCAAAACGAGTGTGTATTGGTTGTCAAGCAATTTTGTATTCTTTACCACACAAAAAGTCCTTAACATCAACAGCGCGTATTTTTTGATTTCACGAACTAACACAATTGAATTTAATTGTGTTAGTTCGTGATGTGAGCAACGAAATGTACTGTAACTTTCTGTAGGTTTTTATTTTTAATTGGACCGTACCATTAAGATTGTAGGGAGGTCTTTAAAATATGGATTTTAATTAATTTTCATGGGCTACATGGCTCCCACTACTTTCCCATTTGTTGACACATAGCATGTTGGTGTTTGTTTGCTCATGGTGCTTTGACTGTTTAGATTCTTACAGAATGGAAAATTTAATAATTCATGGATAGTGAGGTTGAGAATGATGAGTTTGACCACATTCTTTATTTACTAATAATAAATATGAAATTTTCATGTTAAATTGTGGATTTTGCATTTAATAATAAGCTTAACTTTATTATGTTTATAGACAACACATAGGAAATTTCAAAATGACTTATTTTTAACTTTGTTTTGACATTACAATGTAATTGAATTCTTGTCTTGAGTAAACTATTGAGTACTTTAGCCAATTATAAACTTTTCTTTTTTTATAGGAATACTAAATTAACCTTTTTTAAAATAGAGAATTCATGATTCTGAAGATAACTTACATTATATACTTTGATAACGTTATCATCAAATTCAGTGATGGTAAGATACTGTATATTGCATAAAAGTATAAAGGATGAGAAAAAAAAACTAGTATTTATTATTTGATTCATGCATGCATACATTTTAACTTTTGTTTATAATTTTGGGATTTCCATATTTTTCAAATAAATATGCAATGTAAACAATTGACATTCAATTAGTAAATTTTAGCATTATTAGGAAATATAATCATACATGACAATAAGTCTCAAAAAAGTGAATTGTTTTACCCGGTAAGGTTCTGTATTCAATTGTAAAGCCCTTTCGCTCACTGCTCTCAACGGTCGTGGGCCGACGCGATTCTATGAAGAACACCTTGATGCACGCACAATGGTTCATTTTCAGTGACAATCCCTTTCGACTGCCACTGAAAATCATAAGACGGCATGGCGTCGTCTAGCTCTCAAAAGGAGCGGAGTTGGATTTATCGCCGACCGTCATATAGTATGACGCACTGAGTGCCCGACTTAAGTTGTAAAACAACGTTGATGACTTAGGCTGAGTGCATACTGTACTCTGGCTCGCCAAGAAATTTACATTTACATGCTATAGCACTGCAAATAACATACTTAACACATAAGCCGTATTCGACTGGTCGCTTTTCGTTAAACCACGCCCACCTGAGCAGTGCAAAAATCCTAATTAACGAAGACGACCAGTCGAATAGATAACTGATAAATACTTGAAAAAACAAAATGGCTGCATAGTTATCGCGATACACGCTGCGTAATCAAGGTTGCTTCTGCTTGTGGCAGTATGGGTTTTTCGTAAAAAAAAATTTTTCATACAGTTTTTGAATTCTGTTAGTCTACAATTATTTTTTGACTTCATGTGGGTAAATACTGTATTATAACTTTTATTTTCTGAAATTTAATCTAAATTTATATTAACGCAAATGTTGTTGCTAAACTGACCAATTGGCCATGTTTGTTTTGGTCACGTGGATAACTTAACACTGTTTAACGCACTCTAATTTACGTTAATTTTTGTTGTCAACGAAGTCTATTTTACGAACCAGTCGAATTGAAATAGTACTCAACGAAAAATCGTAGTCAACAAAATGAACCAGTCAAATAAGCCCATAAATTCAAGTTCATCAACAAATTTATTTGTATTGCCAACTATAATTTAATGAGAGATGATGCATTTAATTGTACTGTAGCTTGACATCTACTGAGGGGAGAGTACCAGCATTTTATAATACCTTGGCAATGGCATGGCTATCGTATGACTCATCTGAGCTACACTGTACAATGTATGTAAACAATCCTAGTCTAGGGTACAGCTGTGAAATTTGACTACTCCCAGTACAAGGTCAAACTGTAATAATACCATAACCCATATCATCAGCATTTAATCTAACTGTTGTTATTTATTTCATAATGTTATTTTGCTGGGTCCTTCATTCTTTGAACCAATTATAGAAAGAATGAAGACTTGTAATACCAACA